TGTGTGTGTGTGTGTGTGTGTGTGTGTGTGTGTGTGTGTGTGTGTGTCTCACCAACACTGCTGGGGTCAATGGAGACATAAGCCATCGCTCTGCTCAGCCGAAGCTCTTCTAAAGCGGCGAGCTCCGCCTCCGCCTCTGCTCAACCAATCACACGCCACATAACAATTTAACCAAACGTGGCAAACAGTGATTATGCAATATTAAGCTTAATATTAATTAAAATTTTATTAAATAAGAAAAGACATAAGAAAAAAATAGGAACAAAAGACTTTGTAAAATGTAAATAACGGACTATATTTAAAAAAATTATGTTCATAATGCTTTATATATATATATATATATATAACCCAATATATGCAGAGAATACAAGTAAATAAGAAAAACAAGGAATGAGTAATATATAAGAAATATGTCCATCAAACACACACAACATACAACCACAGTGTAAAATAAGTAAATAAAAAATGCTGAGAGAAGTGTGTTAAATATTAATGTTAAATATCAAATATAATTCCAATTCCTATCAGACAACTGAACACGTATAGATCCTTCAGTAACCAATTAAAACAATGGATGATTAAAACAGTAAACTCTCTTTTTGCTGCTGCTATCAGGTGTTAAATGAATAGTGCTTCACGTGTTAAAGCTGCATTCTCTCTGGTGTCCACCAGGGGGCGACTCCTCTGGTTGTATAGAAGTCTATGAGAAAATGACTACTTCTCTCTTGATTTATTACCTCAGTAAACATTGTAAACATGAGTTTATGGTCTCAATCTCTAGTTTCAAGTCTTCTTCAATACAGCATGATGTTCATTTCGTACATTATGGTCCATTTAGAGTCAAACAGACCATAAAGCAGGGGATGCTTTAGACTGCATTTGTATTTTTGCTCTGACTTCACGTGATGACTCACTTCTCTGGATCTCTCTTCTTCTCTTGGGGTCCGGGGGGATGACGGTGAAAGCTTTGTGGCTGAAACAGAAGAACACACTCTGGTTTTAGTCTTCTATGTTGTAACACTTGAACATTTTAGGCATTCAGAAATGACATTTTATTTAATTTGTTTTATTTTATAAGATGGCAAGCTTAAATGCCAAAGAAGGAAATTACAACCACTGCTTCAGTTGATTAATTAACACATTTAATTAGTGAGGGACTAATCCTCCACAACAGATGGTCAGAAGTCAGCAGCAGGAAGACGGATACTTGAGGACAGCACACCGGCTCTTTATAGCAAGACTCTCACACACACACTCTCTCTAAATGTGCTGTTTTACGCTTTAGGAAGATGTGTGGCCTCGAATACGTGGACTGATTATGAGACAATGGGCCCCTGAGCTCAGACATGTAAAGGGGACCCCAGCCTGACGTGTACATAGTCGTATTGTGTCTGATTGAGGTTGTTTTGCCTTTCTTTTCTTATCATTTTGTGTTTCTTTGATTTGTTTTTTGGTGGTTTTGCGTCTTGGTTTGATCATTTTTAATCTTTTTGTAGCTGCTTTGCATCTCTTTTTGGATGTTTCGCATATCGTTGTAGTCAATTAGCGTCTCTTTGTAATTGTTTAGTAAGTCTTTTTGGTTGTTCTTTTTAGTAATTTTGTGTCTCTTTGTGGTCTTTATGTGCATCTTTGCATCTCGATTTGCATCTTTGCGTCTTGATTTTCAATCTAGTATTATGTCTCTTTTTGGATGGTTTGTGTCTTTTTCGGTTGTTTTGCGTCTCTCTGTTGTTGTTGTTGTTGTTTTGCATCTCTATTTAGTCATTTTGTGTCTCTTTGTGGTCTGAATACGTCGTGTTTTGGTCATTTTTTATCTTTTTGTAGCTGTTTTCTAGTAGTTATACGTCTCTTTTTGGTCGTTTTGTGTCTTTTTTGGTTGTTGTAGTTGTGACTCGTTGGTTGTTTCACATATCCTTGTGGTCAAGTTTAGTCTCTTTGTAATTGTTTAGCATCTCTTTTAGTCTCTCTGTAGTTGTTTAGCATCTCTTTCAGTCTCTTTGTAGTTGTTTAGCATCTCTTTCAGTCTCTCTGTAGTTGTTTTGCATCTCTTTCAGTCTCTCTGTAGTTGTTTAGCATCTCTTTTAGTCTCTCTGTAGTTGTTTAGCATCTCTTTCAGTCTCTCTGTAGTTGTTTTGCATCTCTTTTTGGTCGTTTTGTGTCTCTGTGACTTACAAACAAGTAATGTTAGCAGTATCAAACAGAGGCTCTGTCCCAAGGGCCCCCTAACCTTTTGGCCCCTGGGCCTGTTCAATGCACAACAAACAACCTGCAGAATAAAGACACTCAGAGTGATTATTTATCCATCAAACACCTGTTATACAGTTTAAATATGCATGTTTTTAATGGAAAGAATACAGTGTTCAGTGTTTTCACCAGTTTCTTCTTTTCACTGTAGAATCAAATGGAGTGGAACAAGAACCTCTCACATCACAAACCAGTGTTCCCACAGAGGGACACTGGTTTTAACTGGACCTCTGGGACGCACGTCTCCTCTGTCTCACCTCTCACTCGCACGTGTCGTCTCGGCCCGGACCCCCTGCTGCTCCCCCCTCTGCCCCGGACAGGCGCTCATCTCCCGGCCTTTTGGGGTAACGGCCGCGCGTTGCACAGAGCTGCTGGTCGCCCTCCGGTAGTCCCGGTTCGTGGTCGTCTTCGGGGCGGTGGACCTGGACCTGGACCTGCTCTCACAGCTCGGTTTTAAGGCGGTGTTCCCCTCACACCGGTCCCGCTGCGGACACCTCGGGCAGCTCGCCGCGCGGCTCTTACGCACAACCGGAACTCTGAGTTCATTCCGTGCTCCCTTAACCGGCGGCCGTACCATCACCGGTTTGGTTCCCTCGAGCGTCTTCCTCGTGGCCTCCACCGGCTTTGACTTGATCACTTGTGTGGCTTGCATGTTTTATGTCAAAGTGACGCTTCTGTCTTCATAAACAAGAGACGTCATCTTGTGAATAATATCGATTAAATAGGTGTATCAGTGTCTGGGTTGCTATGGAAGTTGCGCCATAGCAACTCAAGTGTCAAGGTAAACAGAACACAAGGTGGGAGTTCAGGTGAGAAGTTTCAAAATAAAAGACAATTGTGCCAAAATGAAGAGGAACTGTTTCAGGAGAAGAATAAAAGAAAAATAAACAAGAAAACGAAAATACAGGATAATTTCAGGATAACCAGACGATAAACTGGCTTTAGAGGCATTAAAATAATATAATTCTGCAACAATTTGGACAACTAAATAGTTTTAAAGGAAATAATACTGGATATTTTCTGGATGTATTCATATTCTTCTATGATAGTAAACTGAATAATTAGAATTTTTGACAAGCTTTTTGAGTATTGTGACATTGTACAGACCACATGATTATGAAAGAAAATAATTATTCAATTCATTTATAATGAACACAATTGTTAGTTGCAACCATAATGGTGCAGTAGGATGTTTAATGCTTTAATAAACTACATCACTTATTTAGACTATTTCCAACAGGAAACTATTCCCTCAAATCTGCAGACACTCAGCTTTTACCTGAAAACGCGAGTTGCAATTCTTCATTTTATTTTGAAGGCAGGGCCACCTGGTTTCCGGTAGTGTGATTGAGTTTGACGCAGCCGCAGATTAACGTCAGTGACGCAGTATTTGTTGTCAGTAGGTGTGTGAGTCCAGTCTGCTGTTCGTCCAATCACAGAGACTCATCCGATTAGTGACACGCGACTCTACACAGGTCACATGACCACATACTGTCAGATTATTGGCTACAATACAGAATATATGAATACATATATATTTATATGTTTTGTTTTAATAATAAACACAAAGAAATAAAAAACTATTATTTAAAAACTGTTTTATTAAAAATATAATATATATACTTTTAGTACTTACAAAGTACTAAAAGTGAATAAAACCATTTAAAAAAGAAAATAAAAAAGATTTAATTAAACTAAAGAAGAGATTTAAGCTTTCAAATCAACTATAGTCCCTCAACTAATATTTTAGGATTATTATAGTAATACAAAATATGATAATAAATATAAAGTATATATTTTAATGAGAGATTGTGGTATTTAACGTAAGCACAATCAATCAGTGGTAGAAGTATTTTTTATTTAATTTAAAGTACTTTGCCATTTGCTTGATTACTTAAATGTTTTGCTACTTAACACTTTATTTGAGAAGAAAATACTTTTTTATAGATTAATCTAACAGTACATAAGGCCAACTACAACATTTAAGTGTTGGTGGAAACAAAGTAATACATGTACTCAAATTCAGTAGCATGAGGTATTTTATACTTGCATTCCACTACATTTATGACAGAAGTATTGTGATTTTTATGCCACTATATTTATTTGACAGCTAATTACTTTAAGATTAATATTTCATATCGATCTGTAAATATGATATATGGTGCTTAATTATTCATAATACTACAGAAAAGTAGATAAAGTCGAATGCACCCCTTATAATAATTTAATAATGTAATAAACACTGTGAAAGGGGCCATTCTGCAGGAAGAGAACTGATCTTTTATAATAATAAGTGAGTACTTTTACTCGTGCATAATGTTGCATGCAGGGTAATGAAGTATTTCCACTTAAATAAAAGGATGTTCCACCGCTGTGCATTAATGAAACCCTCTGGTTGTTCTATGCGGTCCTCCTGAGCTCTGAGTGGTGCTGTCTCGCCTCCGTCGCGCTGCTTAAAACCTGCCTTCCATTGCGTTTCTCCACCAGCGGACTAAACCAGGCCCCTCGCAACCCGCAACACGGTGGCCCCCCGAGCCGGGCTGATTCCCACCACAGACCCCCGACAGGTGTGGACGGTGGTGGGTTGGGGGGGCACCCCCGCATCTTGGATGCTGGATTTACGGACTGCTCTGGATGTGATGAAACCCGAATCAAAGTGCGACACAAACACACGGGCCCGTTTTACACACTGCTGCAACTTTGCGTGTTTTTTTGTGGCATTTGTGCAGGAGCTGAAGGCAGATAATCAGAGGTGAGGCTGGTGGTATTATCGTCTGGGGGGAGGGTGACGCGCACTTCGCAGCAAAGCTCCTGCGCTGTCAGACGAGGAAGTGGGGCTTCATACACGCCCCATTTCAGCCTGTCGACCCTGCTGCAAAAAAAGAAAAAGCAGCTCAGACCCGCTCATCAGATAGCAGCAACAGACTTTATAAACATGCGTTCACTTTCGGATGGACGACACCGGGAATAACCTGCAGGACGACGCCGATTTCAAGAGGAGGGGTAAGTGACCGGAGCGCCTTTCTACGCAGAACGTGGACATGACAATTCACCCCCCAAAATAAAATGTTATTATCGTGAGACTTCTCCACTGTGAAGGCCTGTCTCCATCTTTTTTTCTTGATAGTCACATGCATGATCTGTGGCCTAGCTGTCAACCCGACAGCGTAATGTGACTCGTTCGTGTCATCCACGTCGTCTCCGCCGTCGTCTGCGGGAATTAAAGTGACGCTCAGCGGGCCAGATGTCAGCATCTGCCCCGCTGCTGTGGAGCGGAGTGGCACCTGCTTGCGTGATGAGTTCAGGGTGCAGACTGAGTCCCCTTTTATAAAACTAGATAACATTTTGCACACGTTCCACATGTTGGCGGTCTAACTGTGGACGTGCTCATTAAGTCTGGTAGGGGCTCCTGGAGCCACACTGGGACCCCAAAACGTCCTATGTATGAGTTCTATAGACATTGATGCTACAGCTGAGATGAAGCGATTAGGTGACTGACAGAGATCATTTGGCAACGATTTTGTACTATTTAGTTCATTTCTTTAAGCACAAATTCACGGTTCCACCTCGTCACGTGTGAGGATTTTCTGCACGTTCTATTGATAGTAAACTGAATTTCTTTGTTTTCGTTTTGTTTTGTTTTTCAGTCAAACAAAACTAGAGAATTTGCACGGTCTGACGGTTATGTTTCTGGATTATTATTACTGCTGCATTAATGTGTATGTTACGTGTTAACTCCTTTATATCCTGTTGTCTAGTTTATTCTACATCAATGCATCATATTCTATAAGATCACATGTTCCCTTGAGAACCACGTATCTCTGAAAAGAAAAAGAGCCTGTCAGCTTTGTGACGATATATTTTCCAGCTGATCCAAGAGGCTTTTTAAAGAGTTTATTTAGCTGAAGAAGTAGGAGGATTTTCTCAACACTTCATCCTTCAGCGGTTCACTTAGTTATATTCCACCGCTGCATTAAAAGACTATTAAAGTGGCCCCACTGATCCCTGAGGTTCTGCAGGCAACACGTCGGGCACCGCACTCACACCTCAAGTCCCTGAGGGATGATCTTTCGTCAGGTGAACTGCTGCCATGGCTCTGACCAAACACTGGTGTGTCAGTGAAGGACTCGCTCAACATTTCAAACTTCAGACACAGCTGTGATCAACTGGAGGGATTATTTCAACACATTCATTACATCACTGTCGGACAAAAAAACTAATATTGGTTTAATGTTCTGAGCGTGGGTTTTATCCTCGGGTGTGATCCAACATTTAGGGATACTATTTGTTTAAGTTTCATCTGAGGATGTCTGGTTTGTCTCATCAATTATAAAGACTGATAACATTTCATATAAAGTAAAGTTTTATGGGCTGCAGCCGGGATTTTGGAAAGTCTCCGACCAGGAAATGTCTCCATTAGATCACTAAATGTTTTATTTAAATGTAGGAGTTCAGCAGCTGTTTATAACTCAACACAATCAACTAAACCGTCTCTTTGTCTTTCATCTTCTCTGTGATTTTGATTAGTTCTCTCGGGAAACTTTCAAGTAAATTATTGGTGAAATGACAGACGGCCAGGTGGTGATGGGAACAGTGGGTTAGTGTTTTCATTTACTGAGCTCGCACCTCTCTGTGGGCGAGTTACCAGACTGGTTTATTTCCCTTCAAGCACGTCATGAAGGCCGGGGTGCGCTTCAAAACAACACAAGCTCATGCTTGTTTTCTGACAAGTGACAAAAGAGAGAAATACTTGTGTACAAGTTCTGGAATCAGCCTCAAAGAAATAAGAGAGAGAAAGGAGGTTGAGTAGTAGTAATCGTGATATGATTTTATCACAATACTTTTGAACTATCTTACTGCGTTTCAAGCATTTTGCGTGATATTGTGATTTATTCCCATCTTTCTAATTGCAAATTATGCAGTTTGTCAACATCTGTTTAATCTAAGTGAGAAGTCTCACTCAAAAAAACACAAAAAAAGCAATCGTTACCAAAATGTTTAGTTTTTAATTTGAATAATAATTGTTTATTTTATGAATGATCTATACAATATTGCCACGCATTTTCTCAGAGTGATCAGTAAAGTTTTGGATAAACGATGAGCTGAAATTCACCATGAAGCTCCGTAAAGACGAGAGAAGCTGCAGATTAAACTACCAGAGACACCGAACCTTCCAAAAACTGAGCTCACTGGATCTAAATATGTGAATCGTTAGATATTTGGAGAGCAAAAATTGGATAAAATTAGCCTTTAAATCACAGCAGTGTGCATTAGTACAAACGATCTTTCAAGCAGTAATATATGAGAATAAGGTGAAATGTTGCAACGAATGATCCACATAATCTGAAAGTAGAGACGAGGCTAAAATCTCCACAAAACATTCATTCTGGATTTGAATTCTGACAAACGGCACGTAAAACGTGACTTTTACAATAAAATATATTTAATGTTATTGTGAATAATATTGACGACGGCCACTTTAACACATATGAAGACTTGTCCATGGAGATGAAATGATTAGATGTGTTTCTTATCCGTCTGTGTGTTGCAGAGCGTTAAAGTGCAGCAGGATGGACAGGGAGCTGGTTCGTCAGAGCCAATCAGAACATGGCGAGGCCACCAATGGAACCAGCCCTCGGACCGCGGCGGACTCCTCCACCCCAACAACCCCCAACCCTCCTCGACTCACCCCCAACCCCATGCTGTTGGACTCTCCCACACCCACACTGACGCCCACAACCTCCTCGCCTCCTCCCCCTCTCACCCCTGCTCCCTCCGTCTCCGCAACCCACGTCCCCAAAGTGGCGACGACGACGGCGGTGGGCGCTCCATCTCCCCACATCCTCATCCCAGCTCCCCCTAAACTCACCTCCACCGCCACCCCCGCCCTCCGCACGTACTCTCGCCCGATCCTTCCCTCCCCGTCGGGCGCCCCCAAAACATCTCCCCCCAAACAAACCTCCCCCTCTCCTCTTCTCCCTCCTTCCTCTCCTGTTGCGTCCAGCACCACCTCGCCTCTCCTCTCTTCTGCAACGCACAGCAGCACCGCCACGTCAACCAAGACCTCCACCAGCCTGACCAATGGGAACACAAGGCCCGTACCCACGACGACCTCCACACCAATCACGCCCTTTCACACGCCAGCCAGTCCACCTGGCAGACAGGTAACACACCTGATCAAACAGAACCACGTCTCAATTTAAAGGGAACAGTTTGAAGTGAAATACAATTAGCGTAGCTTAGCATACTGACTGGAAACAGAGGGAAACAGCTAGCATGCCTCTATTGAAAGAAAACCCTCCATGCAGTCCCTCTAAAACTCCCTAATGAACACGTTATATCTCATTCATTTTATTCTGTACTTTAACAAAGTAAAGATAACACACATTGAGGTTTTTACAGGTTGTTGTAGGGACTTTAACTTTGTCACTCTGCTTCAAACACTGTAATTTTCCAAGAAGAGCAAAATATGGAAAACAATTATCAAATATTTACAGAGGGGAAGATATGAGTTTACGGTTTTTCAACCTTTTCTACAAATGGATGGTTGTTGGCGAAAGATTATTTTGTTCAAGAGTGATTTAAAAAGTTGTAATATTGTATGCTTTGTAGTTGTGTTCATTATTAAGTAAATGTAGTTTTTAAGTCTAGTATTTATGGTGAGGTATAAAAATCCCTGATGAAGGTAAGAAGGATGAATGAAACATGTATTGTGCGATGTGTTGTAGCCTGATGGCAGTTTGTACTCAGCGGTGTTTGTATCCTGCTCGTAAGGAGCATGTGCTATGTAAATATAATGCTCGCTTTGCATAGATGCGATCTTAGATATGTCGCAGGCAACGGCAGCATTAACTTTGCTCACCAAATTTTTTATGACAGAGCATCGGGTGTCATGTGCCTTTAAAACATCAGTTTTACAACATTAACAGTCTTGCTTTTCTATGGAAATGTCTCTAAAAGCTCCCCCTCCCTCTTTCTTTTTTGTTCCAGGTATCACAGGCTCATCCCGTGGGCACACCTGGTCTTGTGCGAGCCAATCAGAGCCCCTCCCCTGTGAGGCAGAGGGTATCCCAGCAGACATTGCTCCTGGGGAAAGGTCTCAAAGGGTCTGGCCAAGACCAGGTTCTGCTTAGGGCTCAGATGGTAAACAGTAAACATAGTTACACACACACACACACACACACACACACACTTATCATGAGATAAATCTTGCGGGACCCAGAGAACCAAATGTGGATTAATCCGCCGACAACAAATGCACCATTTCCTCCTTTTTGATTGATTAAAAACTACAGTGACCAACTGTTTTAGGAGACTTAATACAAATAAAAGTATATATTTGGGAGCTGTTTTTAGAGATGTAAGTCCTCAGTAGGAGCCATGTCTCATATCTCAAGTGGTTGAAAACATTTGTTTTGTTTTTACAGTGACAGTAACTTGGACCCAGTCTGAGATATTATTCAGTGTAGAGGATGTAACTCCTCACAAACACTCCTCCTCATGACTTGAGTATGATTAGACTCTGTGCTTTAATTCCTGCTCTCCTCTTTTTATTTCCTCTTCTTTTTCCTCCTGCAGCTGATTCTCACGTCTGCTATGCGACCTTCCCTTTCCTCCTCTTCCTCCTCCTCTCATCTTTCCTCTAACTCTGCCTCTGCTAAGGTGAGCAGTCGGGCAAATTCAACCTTTTGTGCATGTGTGATTTTCTGTTCGCTAAGCCCCGCCCCTTTTATTTACTGTTGCATGACTGTCAAGCTTTCTATTCTGGCAGGAAAAGATGTGCAGTTTACAGTGATGACATTCGTCATTAAAAATCCTTAGTTTTTTTATTTAAACAATGGAAGTTTTGCTTAAAACTGTCCCAAAATGTTCCACTTTTCAAAAAACAGTTGTCTTCTTTGCTTTCTGGATTAGAGTTGATGAGAAGATTCATTCCACTCTCACATCTGTGTGTTAAATATGAAGCTACAGCTGGCAGCCGGTTAGCGTAGCTTAGCACAACGACTGGAAACAGAGGGAAACAGCTAGCCTGGCTCTTTCACATCACAACAAAACCTGCCAACCAACATTTCCGAGCCAGGCGAGCCGTTTCCTGCCGTTTCCAGTCTTTGTGCCAACTAGTATAAACATTTCCCCAAATAAAAAGGAGGGACTGAGCTGTGAAGCTAAAGTAGCATCCAGGACCGACTTCCACAGACTGATGTCGTCAGATAACGACATGCCGACTCTTAGAGGTAACGGACATAATGCCTGGAAGTAAAAAGGTGTTTAGGGATCTAACTGATGTTTCTCTCTGTCTCCCCCCTCCAGCTCCAGAGTCTCACCCTGAGGCCTCCCCCCCCCGGGGCCCTCACCATCCCTCCTTCACTTCGCCTCAAGCCTCCTTGCTCAGCCCCGCCTCCCCTCTCTCACCCTCACGCCCCCCTCTTCCCGCCTCTCCGCCCACGACCACAGCCCTGCGCCACGGAGAGCCCCAACGTGCCCGGCCGCCACCTCTCCGTCCCGCCTCCAAGTAGGTCCCCCCCCCGGGGAGGATGACTCCCACTGGGTGGGAGAGAGGAGGAAGATCTCAGACACTTCCTGTTTCATAGTGACTGTTAATCAGCTTATTATTATTATTTGTTTCATTACTGATAATTATAGATAATAATAATTAAATCATTATTTCACCCGACATGGCCCCATTAAAAAGAAGGGAGACATTTCCCTTCTTCCCACAGCGGAGATCAAACTCTTGTATTCAGGAACCACGAGATAATCCTGCCATGCATGAGCTTCATTTTTAAAAAGCAGAAAGTGAGATGATGTAACCGGATCCTCTCGTCCTCTATAGATGCAGGTAACCACCTGGGCATTCGTGTTGTGCAGCGATCTGATTGGTTTGTTAGTTTGTGCAGCAATTATCTCAAAAACAAGCAGAAAATGTAGCGTTTGTTCAGCACAACGGCTGCAAGTCATTTCTAATTACTTTTGGATTCATCGATGAACTCTTTCATTCATAAAATGACCAAAAGAAAAAATGCTTAATTATTAAAATTATTAGTTAATTATATTATCTGACCATTAATCCAAGTATTTTCTGCTGGTAATTTTTTTTGCCGTTATTAAATAAGGACGAATAAGGTCCTAAACCTTTAGGCGAGCGGTTCAAGATTAATCTAAACGATGTTTAACAGAATGAGAAAAATTGTATTTCTGCAAAATAAAATAGCTTATTTTTTTAGACTTTTTTTCCCTCATCGTTGTTTTATTTCTAGTAAAATATCGGGAGAATTTTCCCTCTTCATGCTCCTCCAAATATACAAAAATTACTGCTCACAACCTGTTTAGAAATGCAACTCGTGACGAGTAAATGTGGCCGGTCGGGTGCTTCTAAAAGAGAAACCTGCAGATATCCTGCAGCGCTTTTCTTTCCTCAGTCAAACATGTTAGAACATACTCTTAAAGTTCAGGCCTGGGGGGGTTAACACGGTACTAGTTGCTCCTGTTTTACTTTCTCACTTGTTTAAACAACAAGAAAACCACATAAAGACGAACGTTTAGGCGAAAAGATGGAAGCAGCCGGTGTGAAACGAACATTCAGAGGATCAGAGTTTCAGTAAGCGAGCCGTCAGTGAAGCCTCAGGTGACCCGGAGCAGAGATTTGATCTCTTTACTCTTCAGAGTATTTATTTTGAAATTCTAAAATCAACTAGAACTTTCATCTGCAATTTGATTTCATCTTTCTTCCCTTCTCTTTTATCTTGCAGCTCTTTACTCTCCGGTCCGAGCCGTCCCTCTGAGACCCAGACTTCATTCTCCGAACAGTCACAGAGCGGCGTCGCCGCGTCAAACCTCGCCGCTGCAGCCGATCGCCGCCGCCCCCCCTGCCTGTCAGGCCTCGCCCGTCAGCAGGCCGCTGGCCGGACTGAAGAGCTGCCCGTTGACCCAAACGATGCTCGGGGGGGCGGGCCAATCCCAGCGCGGCCCGCTATCTGTAACCAACCCCATGTCTGCTTCGTCCCACTTTGAGCGCTCGCCGTCCGCAGCGAGGCAGCTGCAGATCATCGCCCTCTCTTCAGGACGCCAATGCACCTACGCCCACACGGTGCAGTCGGCACCCCCCGTCGCAGAGCCGCCCGAGCCGTCCGGACAATCAAAGAGGACGTTGAGCGGCGACGTGCTTCCTCTTCCTCTTAACCCGTCGTTGCCAAAAAACACCTCGCCTCCGTCCCTCCTGAGTCCGGCCTCCCCTCCGAGTCATCCCGGTCCTCTGACACAAACTGTGAGCCAGAGAGGAGAGGGGAAGGACGGCGAGGAGCAGGGAGAGAGAGGACGAGGGGTGAGACAGGGAGTCAGAGGTGAAGCGAGTGTTGGCAAAGACCTGAGGGGGGAGAGAGACGACCAAAGGCAGGAAGGAAGCCTCGTCGGTCGGAAGGAACAGGAAGTTGAAACGGCCGGAGAGGAAGAGCAAATGGAGGTGACGGAGGAAGGCCGGAGGGACGGAGAGAGAGGCGAGGTGAAAAAGATGGAGGAGGAAGAGGAAGGAGAGACCGCCATGGACCAGTCTGAGAACCGGACCAGTCAGATTCTCCATCAGTGCCAGGACCCGGATCCTATCCCGACGCCAGTTGAAGACTCCAGCGTGGAACCGAAACCCATCCTGGGTCTCATTCCTGTTCCAGTCCAAACAGTCCCAGTACCAGTACCAGCTCCTGTACCGGAGGTCTCCGTCCAAAGTCAGAGACTACCAGAGTCTCATCGGGACCTGCAGTCGGTCCCCCAGGAGGACTTCTGTGAGAACATGTCAACGCAGTCCGACAACCAGTCAGGTACCTCAGAGGGCACGTTTTACCCACGTACACCAACATATCCTCGTACAACGGTTAAAATAGTTATGTTTCAGAAAAGATGGTGAAATACTTAGTTAGGTTTAGGAAAACTATATATTTACTATGTATTTATTGACTCTGATCCCCGTCTTTGCTCCTCACAGCGCTGTCCAGCCTCTCCTCCCAGTCTCCCCCCTCCTCACCCTTCGTCACCCCCTCGTCAGAACACCCTCCCCCCCTCCTCCCCGCTCAGACCGCCCTCCCGACCGACCTCAGCCTATCGCAGCAATGCGACGCGGAGACGGTCGACGGAGCGGTCGGAGAGTCTCGGCGGCCGGCCGAAACGGAGACGGAAACTCTCGGGCAATCGGGAGACGAGCCCGAGAGCTTCGACCAATCGCCGGCCGGCCCCTGGGAGCCGAGGGCGTGGCCTGAGGGCCGGCAGGTTCTGACTCACCTGGTGGAGGGATTTGTCATCCAGGAGGGGCTGCAACCATTTCCTGTACGAACACACACCGTTAGTTTCACATCGAACTACAGAAATGATATCATGATTAATGATGTATTATTGACAATATGCAGAAAATGTATTCAATTTTTATTTTACCAGTTGCAGTGGACATAAAGATATTTATCTGTTTGTCTATTTTTGCCAGATTTGCATTAATATTTGAAGAAGCGACACATTTTGCTCAATGCTACATGTAGCATGTCTGTGTCACTAAATGCTACATGTAGCATGTCTGTGTCGCTAAATGCTACAGAAATTCAGTATTTAGTGAAAAGCCAAAATACAGACACAAAACATTTTTATGGATTGTAGTAAGTCTTTTTTTTTTAAGTTTGAAGCACCTGTAAACTGCAAACTCAAAATTTTACTTTAGTACAAAAGTATTAGCATGAAAATATACCTAAAAGTACTAAAAGTCATTATGCAGAGTGGTCCATTTTCAGAATAATACACAGTGAAATGCAAACTCGCAGTGCGTTTAACTGCCTTTCTTTTCGTCGTGCAGGTGAACCGCTCGTCCCTGCTGGTTCAAAAGCAGGTGAGCAAACCAGAGGAAGTGAACGGGACCAATGGCAGCGCGGCGTTGCCTGTGACGGACACGACGGACACGACGGACACGACGAAACAAGCGGTGCGCTCCAGCGAGTCGGAGGCCGAGGCAGCCGGAGACACGGACGACCTCGCCGACAGTAAGACTCTCCTGTTTTAGAGGTTTTAAAGTCACGCGACAACAAACAGTCACTGAGAAATTAAAGGTGACACAAAGAATAGTTTAAAAAAATGCATCCGTCTAATATTTTTGGGATTAATCAACTAATTTAATTGATAGAAAAAGTTTATGAAGAGATGGAAATCTTGTCTTTGCTGACCTCTGGTGGTTTAATGTCTCAACTTGCAGCGGTGATGTACAGGTGTACTTCAGGACACTGTGACATCACACATTGACTTCCTTCAACATCTGATTTGCTGCTTTTTTTTGCCTTAAAAGTTTTTATCATCTCCGAAGCAATTAAATGATTTTCAAGCAAAAAAATAATAATATTCTCCGGTTGCAGCTTCTCAAAATTGTTGCTTTTCATTGTTTTTCTATTTCTGAACTTGTATTTTTGGTGGTTTCGGATTGTTGGTCGGACAACACAAGCAATCTGAAGACAGTTTTCACTATTTTCTGACAATTAACAAACAATTATTTGAATAAATAAAGAAAATAAAGGTTATTTGCAGTGAGGAACAATTGCACACGTGTGTCTGTTGCATCCAGAAGTACTTCAATAAAAAGAATGGCTTTTAAAAAAGTAGTGAAGTATTCTAAAAAAGGGTTCTGAATCAAACACAGTTGACCAGGTTTGATTCTCACACACAGGGTCGACTCACAGGGACAGGACGGTGCTGCACTGCCAGTTCTGCGGGAAGAGAGGCCACGCCCACAACTTCATGCGGTCCAAGCGCTTCTGCTCCACTTCCTGTGCACGCGGGTGAGACCCGATGTCATTGGCTGGATCACAGACAGCAGCCAACAATGTCTGGTTTTTTTTTGGGTTTTTTTTGAGAGGCGGCGGTGTGTTCAGGATGTGGTGTGAAGAGAGACGCACAGGTGTTGAATGCAGATACGAGTGTGAGTTTAAAGCAGCAGAACGAAGGAGGCATCACCATTTTCTTTTCTTCTCAGGTTTAACGTTCGTCTGACAAAGCGTCTGCGGGCGCTGAGTGCAGGTAGTCGGTCCGAGAGGCCCCGCCCAGTCCTGAACAGGGCGGAGTCTGTTCCTGGCAAGCCTCTTCTCCTGCGACTGGTAGGGACACTGAACTCACCACCAGTTTAAAACAGTGATACCGTAAAAGAATAAACCCACTCGTTTAACTTTTCTTCCCAGAAAGAGAAATACAATGAACACCTTACACATTGAACACCTCACCTGATATTTAGACACTCACCTGTTGATGAAAAGTTGCCTTTGAACTCCTTCAGTTTAATCTACTTCTCTGTCGTCCACCTGTTTGCTCACTCCAAATTGATCCAAAATACACCGACGACTCTCAGTCCTCTCACACAGGTGTTAACGAGCACCTGAGAATTATGGGATGTGGAGTTTGGAGGGCCGTCCTGAAGCATCACCGCCATTTTCATGTAGTTTCAACAGGCTGAGCGCAGAGAGCAACAACACATACTCATAAGTATTTTTAGCTGATGATATAGGATTTTTTACTTTTACTAGTATCTTTACATCATTTACTTTCATACAGGTCAGCGCAGTTCAAAGTGCTTCATAGACAACAGATAAAGCCAAAAAATAAAATAGGAGTAAAATAATTTTTATTTAACAAATTGAGATAATCTCATGCGAGAAAATTAAATAATAAAATGTAATAAAATAGATAAATATAATAACAATAAAACAGAGTAAAATGCTCCTACTCAAAAACAATAAAATAAGTGAATAAAATAAAAAATACATTGTTGCATTTCCACCACATTTATTTAGACTAATTAAACATTTAAGGATCTTCAGGTATTAAAATAACTCACCTCTCTGCAGACTCGTGATCTCTGGAGCGCCGGTCGGCGAGATAAGGAGGGGAAGGAGAAGGCAGCGGCGGCAGACGACGACGATGAGGATGATGAAGATGAAGAGGAGGAGGACATGGAGGGAGGAGCGGAGGAGGAGGAGGAGGATGAGGATCCTGCTGTTGCCATGTCGGCCAGGATGGAGCGTCGGGCGGCGCGGAGAGCGAGGAGGGCGTCGGCTCCGGCGTTGACCACCTCGACCCCCTCGAGCACCTTTAAACCCGCCCCCTCCCAGTGGAGCGTGGAGGACGTCACCGCCTTCATTCACACGCTGCCAGGTGAGCTTCATCATTTAATCAGTAAAACGCCTCATTTACACAAACGCTCGAGCGTGTTAACCGGCAGCAGATGACAATTAAGTATTTAGCAAAGCGCTGAAACTTAACCGCAGGCTGAGGTAACGTGCAAACTGTAAATCACACAACTGTCAGCGTGTCGCTGGGAAACATCTGGAAGAAAAACGAAACTCTGTAAATATCTGAAGTTCACTTCAGAAGATAAGATGATTTTATTGTGAAGATTTTAGTTTAATAACAATTATTACACTCACACCTCATGATTATTGTAAAGCTCTGACTCCTTTTTAATAAAGTTTAGAATGACGTGTAAAGTAGATGAATGACAAAACCACAGAGGGACTCAACTGAGCATGCTCTGTGGGCCCCTACAACTTTTCCCACAATCCATTGCTGTGTAATGCAGCAGGTCTTTGACAGGAAACATCATCACATGTACCAACAGAGTAAAGTAGAGTAGTTCAGAGTCGTGTTTACTCTTTTATCTGTTTTATTTACAAAGAGTTCTTGTGTTTAGACATTAATATAAATCTGAGAACTTTTAATTTGTTAAATAGAAAAGATTGAAGTTGCAAGAAAACATGTTTCCTTAAAGTAAGGTATTCAAAATGTTGGGACAAAAACTCACTGATCATAGTGACGCTCAGCTTGTTTGATCACTGGGAGCTTAAATGTGTCACATAAATTGGATCAATGAAAAGTTAATTTGAGGGGTAAAATGAATAAATGTGCGTTAGAGAACTCATCTTCATCCTTTGTGTGTTTCAGGCTGCAGCGACGTGGCCGAGGCTTTTCGGCTGCAGGAGATCGACGGTCAGGCTCTGCTGCTGCTGACCGAGGACCACCTGATGACCAGCATGAATATCAAACTAGGACCGGCTCTCAAGATCTGTGCTCACATCAACGCACTGAAAAACCAGTGAGAGCGAGGGAGAGAGAGAAAACAAACTGATACAGAGAAATAACAGAAGAGACAGTCGGGGCGAGAAAACTGAGAAAGAGAGAAGAGAGAGACAAAAGCTGACACCAAGGATGACAGAACAAAGTCACAAAAAGAGATTCACGGTAATTTATGAGATTATAAATCGAGCTGTGGCCTTAGGACGGGAACAGACGCACGAAGACACCAGAGTCCAGAAGAAAGTTCATCCGTTTTGGGCGCTTTGACTGTAGCAGGAGACCGGGGGGGCGGGGGGGTTTTTGTAACTTTCTGTACATTTTTCATGCTGCTGGAGAGTGTACATTTGAGCTATTTCATGAAGGATTTTGAACATTTAATATATAAAATTTGTCTATTTAGTTTTTTTAGAACGTGACGTCAATGACAAATCTATCCAGTAGCTAACATAACCCGTGTGTGTAAAAATAATAATATTAATAATACGTAGACTTTGTAAGTGATTAATGAAAGTTTAATGTTTTATATCACTATATTCTGGACAACATGTCTGTGGATTTTAAAAAAGGTCACTATCAGGGTAGAGACTGGTGTCTTTAATCGTCACATTTTTATGGTATCATGCTTGAAATTATTTAATAAATGAATAATTAATCAAAGTGGTTGTTTTATCTCATTGTCTGAAGTAAAAAATGAGTTGTTTTTTAACGGATGAATCAACAGCAGAGGGCAGCAGTGAGGCAGGTGAGTGATACAAGAACAAAAATCTGTGTTTTATTAAATAACCTGATTTGAATTCATGTCACAAAGTTCCTTCCGGAGATCTAAAAGCTCAAATTTAAGCGAAATATTCCAGGTCGGTCCGTATCTCCTGCTTTTCTGATGGATACAGGCTTTTGTATTTCTGTCTCGAGTCTCTCCATATCTGGTTTAGGTTAATATCTCACATGCGCTCTGATTGGCTCGTAGTTTGGACTGAACGGTATGTTTTTCACCACACCCGATAGTAAATCTTATTCTAGGCATTTGTTCTGCGGATCAGCCCGAGGCGCGTTAACGGCACACAGCAGGATTACTTTTTAATTAAACTGTTTTTGAAAGGATTCTCATCTGAAACACTTGTTTTATTCACATTTGGACAATTATCTTAATTGGAGCAGTGCAGTTCAACTATTTATCTTTTATGAAGAAAAGATTTTAAAAAAGCAGAGAAGGATTCAAATATAACTTCTGCGAGTTTGATCCTTTTTTACGGAGTTTTTGAGTATCTGGAAGAATAAACAAGGCTTTAAATTCATACAACTGCAGCGAAACAAAGAAAAAAAATCAAACACTGCAATTAGTTTTTTTTTTAAATCCACATTTTTAAGATTTCTTTTCGTCGGAGTTGAGCGCGTAAAAACGCACGGCGGCGGCTCCATGGCGCACATGTGCAGGCAGATGACGGGCATCGCGGCGAGCTGTGCGGGCTGGGTCGGCATCATCGTCGCCACGGCCACTAACGACTGGGTCCGGTCCTGCGACTACGCGGTGGTGACCTGCATCCGCATGGACGAGCTGGGCTCGCAGGGACTCTGGGTAAAGTGCGTCATCTCTCCCGCGCTTTATCACTGCGTGGCGCGCACCCAGATCCTCTCCCTGCCAGGTGAGAGGGGGGGAACGATGGGTGGATGGAAGGAAGGATGGATGAAACTATGGATGGATGGAAGGAAGGATGGATGAATAAAATGATGGATGGATGGATGCATGGGGGACGGATGGATGGAAGGAAGGATGGATGGATGCATGGGGGACGGATGGATGGATGAAACTATGGATGGATGGAAGGACGAATGGATAGATGAAGATGGATAGATGGATAAAAGGATGGATGGATGGATGGATGAATGAATGATGGAAGGATGGAAGTGTAAATGGATGGATGGATGCAAGGGGGGATGGATGGATGGATGAATGGATGATGGAAGTGTAGATGGATGGATGGATGGATACAAGGGGGATGGATGGATTGATGGATGGATGTATTCTCATTATATCCCGTATTTAAATTGCAGTATTGTTTAAAAAGCGACTCATGAGTCTCTCTCTCTCTCTCTCTCTCTCTCTCTCTCTCTCTCTCTCCGTCTCGCTCTCTTCCTCTCAGCGTACGTCCAGACGTGTCGTGCCCTGATGATCTGCGCTTGTCTGCTCGGTCTGCCCGCGATGCTGCTGGTTCTGATGTCGATGCCCTGCGTCAAGCTGCAGACCGACAACTTCGCCATCAAGCAGCGTCGCGCCCTGGTGGGAGGCATCCTCTACATCCTCATGGGTGAGGATAGACCTCCAAACACACACACATGCCTACTGACAGTTTTATAAGACAGTATTTTTAGTTTCAGAGGACAGTTGTTTTACATTTAATGGGCAGTAGTTTTGGTTTTAGAGGACAGTATTTTCCCTTTTAAAGGACAGTAGTTTCAGAGAACAGTAGTTTTAGTTGCAGACTAGTTTTGGGAGGTACAGGACTCTGGTCTCTCCCAGCTGTTGCAGGAGGGAGGACGGGTGGAAGGAGGGTCCGGGTCTGTCAAACCAGGCCTCATCCTGACCGGCTTCATCTGCCAGACCGTCCTCCTTCCTGTTGGATGAGACGAGCACTTCCTGTGACAGCCTCAGGGTCGGGACATCCAGACAGATACATTATCAATGAATGTCTTCATAAAATGACGTCTCCGTGTCTTCTCGTGTCCTCCAGCTCTGTGCGGCATCATATCGACCGTCTGGTTCCCCGTCGGCGTTCACCAGGAGGAGGGCCTGATGTCGTTCGGCTTCTCTCTGTACGCCGGCTGGGTCGGCTCTGCCCTCTGCCTCCTGGGCGGCACCCTGATCCTGTTCTGCCGCGGCACCGACCCCGGGACCCCGAGCAGGGACAGCAGCTTCTACTACTCCAGGCAGGAGGGCACGGCCACGCCGCTGGACCCCCCCGCCAACCACGCCAAGAGCGAGCGAGTGTGAAGCTGCTAAACTTATCATAATAAAAGTCTGTGCATTTTTCTCTTTTTACATTTTGCTGAGTTAAATAATGTCATCGGCCAATTTTGTGTCTTCTTTTTTCAGATTTTACATCATTTGAAAATAGCAAACTGTTGCTTGTATTTGTTTAAAAGCTCCTGTTGTATTATTTTACTTTTAATAGCATGAATTCCAAATATTACCTGAAGTACAGACAATTCAAGAAGCTAGTAGATATCTTAGATAGATTCATGTACCAACAACACATTTAGCTTCTTCATATTCACAGCATAATCAATATATGTATCAAGAAAAATAATAAAGGTCTTTAAGTAATTAAGAGTCTCAGAGTTTCACTCAAAATGAGACATTTATTCCTGCAATGCCCGATTCTCATTTACACACGTTAACACAAAGTGCTGCTGCTGCAGACGCTAAATAGAGTAAACACTCTTTCACGGTAAACACCATTCACTCAAACAAGTCAAATCAAACACAAAAGTAACAGAAAGACGCCATGTTCTTCAAGTTTCTTCTTGAGATTGACATTTGAGTTTTAACAAAAAACAACATTTTAATTCTGGCCGACAAGTCGTCTGATTGGCTGAGATCAAACTCAGTGGGGTTTTTTTTCTGGGTAACTAACAATGAACAGAGTGGACAATGTCCACCTTTGCCTTTTCAAGGCTGCTGATGAGTCTCTGGCTCCGCCCCCCCTGAGGTTTGACTCAACCAATGAGAGAAACCCTGCCTTCTGGTATTGATTGTAAAAGCCTTTCTGCTGACATAAGTAGCTTCACAAAGCCAGACCTTTGTTTCTACATTTGGGTCATAAAAATATCGAATGTGAGCGAAGAAAAAGAGCTACGAGGGATGAAACGGATTTCCATCGAAGCCACAGCTTTTGTATTAAGTGACTGTTATTATTATTTTGGTTAAAAATAAGGACTTCCCAATAATGTTTTTCTCATCCCGTCCCAAGTCCTCTAACGTTGAGTATCTGGGTTGAGTAAAAATACAGAGTTCAATCCAGATTTTCTTTGCTCCAGTGCACACTGGAGATAAACGTCCTTTATAACCACCAAGCATGATCAATACCTGACTTTAAGTACACAACCAACACGTTTAAAACAGACGCAGGATACGTGAGGCAGAGTTGCTAGAAAAGCGTCGCCACCATAGATTGAATATAAGAAGTGATCTTATAAGACGTAGTCGTCGTGACGTCACTCGTTGGTTTGTGAACTGACGTTTTGAAGCCTTAAGATTGCCATTTTGGCTGTCGCCATCTTGTTTTTTTCCGCAACCAGTGAACAGGACGTTACTTGGACTGAGGAGGAGTGACGTAGAGACACCATATACGTGTCTGGTAGAGAGACCTGTCAATCACCGTGTAGCCCCGCCCTAAAGCATCCCCTGCTTTATGGTCTGTTTGACTCTAAATGGACCATAATGTACTAAATGAACATCATGCTGTATTGAAGAAGACTTGAAACTAGAGATTGAGACCATAAACTCATGTTTACAATGTTTACTGAGGTAATAAATCAAGAGAGAAGTAGAGTCATTTTCTCATAGACTTCTATACAACCAGAGAAGTCGCCCCCTGATGGTCAGTAGGGCGGGGTTTACTGTGATTGACAGGTCTCTACCGGAGACGTATACGGCGTCTTTACGTCACTCCTCCGCATTCCAAATATGGTAACTTCTGTTCATTGGTTGCAAAAAAACAACAACATGGTGACGGCCGTAATCCAAGATGGCAATGGCGAAATTGCTTCAAAACGGCAAAGGGTGACGTCACGATGACTACGTCCACTTCTTATATACAGTCTATGGAACCAGGATGTCGGTGGACATTCAGGGTGCTGTGATGGGAGGCGTCCATCGTGTCCTCTCCCCCTACCTCCTCCTCTGATATCCAAACCACACCGAGCAGACAAAGACGAAGGGTTCTTTGGTGAGTATTAAAATAAAACCTTGTGACCTGTGATTATTTGATTTAGTGTCTCAGGTCGGCGGCACTTTTTTTAAGTCATCATTTTTAAAATCTTTTCAGAGGAAGTGTCCTCTGTTCAGTTTTCCTCTTCTTCCTCCACATCAAACCCGTGATTGGTCCTTCCTCTGGACTTGCTGGCAGACTGGCTTCCCGGTCCAGACTGATATCCATACTGGTCGCCATTATGCTCGTACTGCTCCCCATCTTCATATTTGTTCTCCTGCTGCTGGTGCTGGTGGTATCCCCTCTCCTCTGGGGCGGACCAGCCCTGGTAGGGCTTCTCGTCCCGCTCCTCGGGTTGGAGGTTGTCGTCGGTGGGGAAGACGTCGCCGTCGTCGTCCAGGTGGTCGTCGTAGCGCTGGTAGGAGCTGGCGTGCGCCTGCTGCTCCCGGGCGTTCAGCTCCAGTGTGCTGTGCCACACTCCGTAACAAGCGTAGATCAACAAACCTGAGGGCGGACAGACGGCGACGGTTAAACCCAAAACATCAAGACAGTCAGGAAGAGAAACTGTCCAACCGTCTACTTTCTATATGTAGTTTACATTTATCTCAACATTGTGCTACCAGATGCCAAAATATGCCAAAAGCTTCAGCTGTTACGTCATTTCTGACCGTTGACACCATGAGAAGCACATCTGTCACAAATGTAATGCAGTGTGGATTTCAGCGGACTGGGGGGACCCTGAGGTCTTACTGGACTCACTAATTGGACTTACAATAGCATATTCCTAAACTGAAGGCACAGTCCAATATAGCAAATAGCAGAACATGTGTATTCTACATGAAGACAGCTTGTTACTACTGCATTTGGAATCCATAATCAAGAGTGTTTCATCTCACCTATGAAGCACCAGACGGTGAACCTGGCCCAGGTAAGTGGAGACAGTTTCAGCATGAGGTAGCTGTTGACCAATATGGCCGCCGCAGGGACGAAGGGCACGCAGGGCGCCATGTAAGGCAGCCTCCTCCCGCTCTCCGGCTGCTGTATGATCGTGATCAAAAGCTTCGCCAAGGAACCCGCCATCAGTGTGGCCATGAGGCCGGAAAACACCGCCCCAACGCCGGTTCCCTGCTCGACGCCGAATATAACAGTGGACCAGAGGAGGAAGGACGTGAGGAAGAAGAGGAGGGTGCATCGGGTCACTGTGCGGCCGGTGATAGGCGTGGGTCGGGCCGACGCGTCGGGCATCGCCAGCCGCAGCCGCAAGGTGTAGTAATGACCTCCCAGGAACCTTTTCAGCAGGGAGGCTTGGCCTGTGTGGAAATCGGAGTCGTCCCCCTCTCCTTCGGTCCCGCCAGCGTGGTAGGACGCTAATCCATCGCCGTCCGAGCCTCCGATCAGCACTTGGTCGTCTTTGGTTTGGGCGGCCCCGACATCCGCGCCGACCGCGTCCTCCCCGGGGTCGAACTGGTGCCCGTCGCTCTGTTCATCGGGCTGGTAGCGCAGCAAGAGCACGCACACGCTCACCAGAGTGTAGGCCAGCAGCGTGCCGATGGACATCATCTCGATCAGGTCCCTGAGGCTCACCAGCAGAGCCAGGAGCGCCGCCAAGCACCCCGACACCACACACGCCACCGCGGGAGTGTGCGTGATCGCCGACACGTGAGACAGGAACCTGCACACACACACATTTAATCGCAGAGTTAGTCGGGAACTGGAGAATCCTCGTCACACCTTTTTCGTGCTTCCTCACCCGAACAGCAGGCCGTCGCGGGACATGGCGTAGATGACTCTGGGCATGGGGAACAAAGAGCCCAGCAGAGACACGGTGAGTCCGGCTATGGAGCCCACAGCCACGATGTATTTACCCCACAGGAAGCCGTGCAACGCAAACATCTCCATCAGGGGAGCCGAGCCATCGATCAGGTCGTAGGGGACCATGAGAGTCAGGATCACGCTCACCTGTACAGAGGACGGCCACTCATTCATTTTACGTCTTTCTAGGTCAAAATGGATCAGATCTGAATGTTGTAGCCGATGTGAAAGTCCCTTAAAAGCAAATGCAGACATGTTTTTATTGATGATATCAGTGATTACATCAAATTTAGCTTGAATTGTCTTTTTTATTATATGACTAGAATTGGTTTTATTCGAAAATCTGATGCTTTTATAATTAGATTAATTTAATTTGCTGCCTTGTGTGAGACACTTTGTCACATGGGTTTTCAAAAGTGCTCTATAAATAAAGATTATTATCATTGTCATATAAAACTGTGGATGTTTGAAGCTGTGATTTTCTTGATTGACAGGTTTACCAGCCAATCACCTGCTGTCCAGTTCAACACAGGCGTCCATCTTCTTTGCCCATATTTGGATATTATGTCTCCACGCTCCAAAATTACTCCCGAAGGGGAAATAACCCAAATTTGTTTCACAAATTTTGTTTTGTTCATGTTACATGCGTGCACGACACTGACCGACACGTAGGCCGTGAGGCAGGTGACCAGCGAGGCGGTGATGGCGTACGGGATGGAGGTGTTTGGGTTTTTCGCCTCCTCTCCCGTCGTCGCGATGATGTCGAAGCCGATGAAGGCGTAGAAGCAGGTCGCCGCCCCTTGCATCACCTGATCAGCAACAAGAGATCACTTTTTTTTTGCTTTTCCACTCCAGTTTGAACAAGTGACAAAAAAAATGACAAAGTGGTTGAACATCTCACCCCTGACCAGCCAAATGGCAGGAACTTGCCGCTCTCCCAGTTGCTGGTGGAGAGGAAGAAGAGTCCGGCGATGATCATGAAGACCCAGACCACCAGGTTCACCACGTTGAGGACATTGTTGAAGCCCACTGTGTTACGCACACCGAGAGCAACGATCACTGTGACCAGCAGGGCGATAAACAGCGCCAGCAGGTCCGGGTACGTGTCCTCACCTTTACCTGAGACCGACAGAAGCACAGCAGCATTTATGGTGAAAATATTTCATCGTCATGAGGAGGAGACACAGGAAGGGGTTCCTACCTGTTGAAACTGAGATATTTTGGCCAGTTAGTCAGTTCATCACTTCTAGTCCAGACTGAAATATCTCAATGAAATTTGTGTTCATTCATGTTCCCCAGAGGATGAATCATGATCATTTTGGTGACCTTCTCACCTTTCCTCTAGCGCCACTATGAGGGTTACATTTGATGTTTTAAGCAAAATACCTTAAAAACTATGACTGGATTGCCATGAAATTTGTTTCAGACATTCATGTTCCCCTCAGGATGAATTGAAATATCTTTATGGCTGTCCTTGATCAAAGAAATCCTGAGTCGACCAATACTCTGGTGTCGATTAGTTAACAGACTTTTAATTTGCTCTTGATCAAAAACGTTACACCGACTGATCGTACTGACCGAGTCCTCTGAGCGTGCCCAGATGTGTTATCATGTAGTTACTGATGCTGTGATTGGCCAGAGAGTCAAACATGCTACTGAGAGCCGACGCCCCCGCCGCTGTGCCAATCAGATATTCCAGGATCAGGTTCCAACCAATGAAAAACGCCACAAACTCCCCGACTGTCACGTAGCTGTAGGTGTAGGCCGAGCCGGTCGTCTTCGGGACCCGGACACCAAACTCTGCGTAGCACACACCTGAAGACAAAAATACACAAATGTAATGAGTTCAATAAGACAATAGGCATTTTGTAAGATTAGAGTATGGTGACATGTTTCCTCTCTCAATCCTACATAAACCGTCCTGCTGCCAGAAATACTCACTAGAGGACCAAATGTGGATTAATCCGCTGCTGAAAATAGTCCGCAACACATGCTCTATTTTCTCCTGTTCGTTTGATAAACTAAGAGATTCCTGAGCATTGGAATATAAAACTGTTATTGGTAGAGACTCTAGGTGGGTTCTAGACAAAATCCTTGGAAAATGAAAGGGTTCAAGGGGGGAGGGGGGGTGTTTCTGGGTGGAATTTTTTATAGATGGTTCTAGGTATAACCCTCCAAAAGGGTTCCAAGCAGAACCTTTAAAAGGCTCTATCAGGAACCAAAAAGGGTTCCCCTTTGAGGACAAGCCAAAGAACCCTATATGTTTCTAGTTGGCGCCTTCATTTCTAAGAGTGTAGGAACCAATGGGCTTGGAGCTGAGAGATAAGACGTCAGACAGTATTGAGAGACGGACTAACACATTGTTGAGTTTGGTTTTAAGTTGAACAATGTTCTGTTGTGTCACCTCGTGTTGCCTCACCTGACAGTATGGATGCCACCGCTGCAATAATGAAAGACAGGATGACCCCAGGCCCAGCCATCGCTTTGGCCACCAGCCCTGCGACCACGTACATCCCGGTGCCGACGCAGCTGCCCACCCCGAGCGACACCAGGTCCACGGTGGTCAGGATCTTGGCGAGCCCGACCGCCGACCCCTCCCCGAGCTCGGTGAGGTCGTTGGAGCCGTGAGCCATGGAGCCCAGGGGTTTGGTTCGCAGCAGGCGGGAGTACATGTTGTACCAGGCGTCGCCCAACGACAACCGGCCGAGCCATGCCGCCATCACCACACCTGTTTATCACCTGTTTAATGTAGGTTTGTGACTCCTTCTACCTTTTCTTTGACACTCCCTCTATCATTCTGTCACTCCTCATCAGGCGTCCTCCTCTTTCTTCAAGATCCAAATGAAGGGTATAGACACAGCAGACATGGAAGAAGAATTCAGATCATTTGATTTAGTAAAAAGTATCAATGAAAGAAGTACAGATGGAAAAATACAGAAGTGCCCCCAATGCTAAAACAAATACCTTTCTTTATTATTAAATAATGATTCTGTGAAATGTGAAAATATTAATCTGGTGGAGAAATACAAAATCTTGTTGGACAAAAAGCAGTTAAATTTAAGAATAAAACTCTAAAAAAATTAAATATGTCTTTAGTAGAAAGTAGTAATTGTTCAACGCTTTGGCTGCAAACTATTCACCTCCATTTAATTTGTTTGTAACATGGTGGCGGTGACTAGATACCACAACAGGTAACAGAACAATATGTTTTGTATAATTTAGGCGAACCAATTCTTTAATTAATTCTTAAATAAATAAACAGTGCAATCATAAAAGGCTAATATCAGGCAGGTATGTCTGTGGATGTGAGCCAGCAGGGGATGATGGGATACCATCAGCTGTTCTCATCACTCACTGGAGCGAGACTCTCTCTCTGAAACTTTAATGAAGACCGAGGATCTGCTTTCACAACGGAAAGGTACGACTGAGGAAACAAAAACTGAACCAACTTCTACAAATCTAAAAAATCCCAGCTTTGCACTTTAACCAAAACCTGAATGTAAATCAACACGTGATCAACATCAACAGGCTGGCTTGACGACAGTGAAGAGCACAGGCAGAGACGTAAAGATGCGGATAAAAACACCCAACATGCCGGTTAAAGATGCACACCTGAGCAGACAGGTAATAAACTCACCTGTTGTGTGTTTTTCCTGAGGAAGAAGTGTTGGTTGAGTCCACGTCCTCTGCAGACCTAGAGGAAATGGTGAGGAGACGACAGCGTTAATCCTTCAGACCGGACACCACCTGATCAGGTGGATACATTATTCAACTCCTGAGACTGGCCAGGTGTGTGTGTGTGTGTGTGTGTGTGTGTGTGTGTGTGTGTGTGTGTCATAATTCATTCATAAGAGGAAGGAAAGAATAGCTGCTGTGAAGGTGTGTGAGTTAACTCTGTGCTGCAGCTGCCACAGGTGACGTTTCTTTACTCTTTGTTTGCAGAGCTGAGAAAATCACCAGGTGTGTGTTTGTCTTCGTTCTCATGTGTGCTACATAGTGAGGACCGTAACAATCAACACAGTGGGGACATATTTTTTTTTTGGTGTTTCTGTATCTCTTTGTAGTTGTTAAGCATCTTATTGTGTCATTTTATATCTCATTGTATTTATTTTGTGTCTTATTTTGTTCGTTTTGCGTCTCAAGTCCTTTAGTACACAGACTTGTTATTAACTTGTGGGCCCAACATGTACACACTGAACGGATTGTGTTATCTGCTGTTGTAATCTGATGCACAGAGTCAGATTACACCCGGCAGACGTGGTAACACAAAGGTCTAAAATAAGAGAAACAAGACACTCAGCTTCTGATTGGTTGATTATCAGCCAACCAACAGTCGGTTTTGTGTAAACGGTGATGGAAACATCAAGGTTTTCACATAAGGAATTTGTGTTTTGGTGCATAACAATAAATACAGTAAGAGAAGTGAAAAAGCATTACAACAGTCAAGAATCATGAATATGAAATAGAGATGTATAAAGAAATAAAGATGGAGAGGAGAGGATGGACACTGTTAAGAAGAACTTGTGTAACATGTTGACTAAAGAAAGTATGAGGAATATGTGCAAAGTGTGAGTTCGGACACTTTTCCTCAAAATTCAAAACCTTTTTTGAAACAAGTTTGTTAAAACAAGACTGTGACTGAACTTTGTCATAAAATAACATCGGGGGATGTTGTTGGGACTGAAAAGCGTTAACGATAGTTGACTCGGGAAATTAATTGATACGTAGCAAACTCCTTTAAATAAATCGTTGGGCTTGGGGGAAGGTATCAAGTATTTTCAAAATAAAAGACAAGTCAAAGTGCAGACACGAGTCGATGGTGATAAAGTCCAAGTCGAGTTTCAAGTCTTTTTTGATTTTGTTAGATCTAAAGTCATCACACTTGTGACTCGGGTCCATTTTTTTTCCGAGCTTTTACTTTCTGAATACTCGTCTTTTTGTGGTTCAGATGCTGCGATTTGGAAAATACCTGAATAACCAAATATCAGCAGGCGGACGTGGAAAGTCTTGACAACATGTACCTCTTAGATAGCAGCTGCTCTGATGACTGTCATCTTCTATTTTTAACTGTTTATCTCATGGACCTTTGAATGTACTTATGAGCACAAGACTAATAAATGGAAACTGACTGTGTGCTTTCTGAATGTATGGATCTAACTGTAAGCTGTTGAGTGCATGTCTGCATGTTATAAAATAACAATAACAGATTTTTGTATAAAGATTTGAGATGCTGACTGCAGAGCAGCTGAAGGTGAAGGCATTCCTGAAGCTGCGTGCTTTATACGCAACAGATGAGCGAACGAGAGTGAATCCAGACACACACACACACACACACACACACACACACACACACGAAGTAAAACATCCTTTTCTGTTTAAGGGAGTAAAGGTTTTGGTTGGCAGCTTGAAGCAACATACAGGAGAGATAAACTCTGTCTTATCATGCCAGTCTGAAGACCTCAGGTTAAATAAAAGACTTTGTTATTTTTAGTGTCTTTTTGTTAAGCTGAAACAAACCAGAGGTTTCAGTCCGTAGAACTGTTAATATATTGTGGAAATTAAACTTAATGAGATAAAACATTTAGTAACTTATCAGAGAATTCTCAAACTGAGAGAAAATCTCTGTTGAAATATTTAGCCTCAGTGTCATTTGCTCCACCCTTTAACCGTTAATAAAACACAAACGAGTGTTTAAGGAGCTTAAATCTTGATTTGAACGCATCACATTCATTCACAAGGACTTCAAATTGTTTTCCAGAAGTCACACATCTGTTCTCACAGGCTGAGTGAAGAATAACCTGGATGATGACATCAGGAAACGGGTCAAAACAAAATGGAAAGATCCAGTGTTTTTGACCCATAATATAGTTTTACTAAAAGTTAGTGCAAATTCAAAATACGCTTTTCAATTTTTACCTTTTAAAAGAAAATAATAATTCTGTCCCAACGGAACCTTTATTCCCTTTGGTTTCTGTGTGTGAAAGTAAAAACTATCTGTAGCACCACCTAGTGTTCAGAGTACTGCTACACAACCGCCTTCAGGCATAAGGACAAGAATCAAGAGGCGTCGATCAAAGGCGGGCAAAATAACAGGAACACCTGTTGTAATGCAGTGGGACCACGTTATTGGTTTGCCAAGTCTTTGCCTTCGAGTCTTTACAAAATCTGACGAGTCACAAGTGAAGTCTTAACTCAAGAGTTTTGTGTCTGTATTAAATGATAAAGAGCTTTTTCGGCAAATGTAACGCCATTTAAACAAAACAGCAATACAAGTTTCATACAAATAGTTACAGGGTGGACAGAATAATAGGAAAACTTTAGTATAACAGTAAAATTAGCCCCAAATAATCATATTGAATAACGCCTCTATTAGATGGTTATATTATAAGGAAGATGTATTTCAGGACTGTAAATCTTTGGTTTGAGTTCGGTGTAACTAATGCTCAGTTAATTATCTGATCAGAAAAATTGAGACACAAATTGCTTCTTGTAGTACTTAGTTTAGACTATTTTTATTAAAAAGGTTACTTTATAAAAAAACTACTTTCAATCTGTGAAAATTTACACATTTACTCTTTGTTCTGTTCTTAAAATATTTGGATTTTTTGTTTCATAGACTTTTTTTAAAGAACAAAATCACTTTTACCTGATCACCTGATGTTCTTCATTCTCCATCTGACGTAATATTTGTGGTCCTCAAATCGGGTTTATTTGCTCATCTCATATATATATATATATATACACACACACACACACACATATATACACATTTTATGTGTCTTTCAACAGAGACTTTTTGAGAACAGCAGAATATATATACATATATATATATATACACATATATACATATACACACTTTATGTGTCTTTCAACAGAGACCTTTTGAGAACAGCAGAATAAAAACACGAGGCAGAAGTTATTTTTCCACATTTATTCTCCAGACGTTTACTCGTCTGCCTCCGACTCCTCTTCGTCGTCCTGGCTGATCTGGAAGTAACGCAGCTCGTACGTCTCCTTGTCGGACGCCACGACTCTCAGCCAGTCACGGAGGTTGTTCTTCTTCAGGTACTTCTTCGTCAGGTACTTCAGATACCTAGCGGAGGGCGGGGGAGGAGGGGTCGGTTAGTCTCTGAATTTTTGATTTCTAATATTGTTTGCTCTGTTAAAATAAATAAAAATCCCATCTGACCTTTTGGAGAACTGCTTCTCAGACGTGACGTTGATCTTGTTCTTCATGCGGCCGACCTGGACCACGTTGCCCAGGTTACCTGTCTTCCCGTTGACCTTAATCCTCTCTTTGAGGAAGGTTTCCTGTCGGACAGAACACAGTGACGCACTAGGGAAGGGAACCCTAGTATATTCGGAGCTAGGGAAGAGAACCCTAGTCCAGACGCAGGGTTAGCTGCTTGTTTCACGCAGTTTTCCTGATTCCTAACTAGCGTCTCTAATGAATAAAAAGGGTTTAATAAGAGGGGGAATACTTACAAAGCTTGCAGAGTCCAGGATCCCATCCTCCACAGGGTGGGTCAGGTCCAAGGTGAACTTCCATGCAGCTCCCTTTTTGGACTTCCTGCTGACAGTTGGTCTTTTCTGTTTGAGCTGTGAGGGAAAATAAAAATAAAGCAGCAACAGGTTCAGAAACATGAGACGTTTCTGGTCCTCTTTAAAGTCCCAAAAGGCATTCTAGCTTTTACTGATTCTAGATTTCACTGGTTGTAAACATATTAAAACATTGTGACATCTAGACTTCAGTAAATACTCTTAATCCAGAGTAAATCCTTTGTTTAAGTATCCTTAAGATATCTGCAATCTAATTAGTTACTAATTCTTAGGTGGTGTTATACTAAATGGGGGATATTGGTAACTTACAGATGCTGTTATTTATAAGCATGAATAAAATATAATCATAAAATGTAAATGCAGGATTATGCTGAATGCAAATTATATATATATATATATATATATATATATATATAAATAATGGAATATATACCACAATACTTTAAATTAGTGAATACAAAACGCTCAGAAATTGGATGTTCATTAATTGTAAATACAAAAATAGTATAAATAAAAATTAAAGATATATTTATATGTACAGCATCAGTCATTGAAATAAAACGATTTGTTTGAATTTTGGGTGCAAAACAAATGGAAGTTCCTTTGGTAGAGACATCCACCACTAGTTTAGTTTCTACGTTATTATGATCTATTAGAGGGATAGTCAATATAAAAGTTATGCCAAACTGACCAGTGGGACCTGTACTACATGTAGACTGTAACAGAAGTCAGGTTTACCGGTCAAGAGGCAGAAAAGCCACCGATAAGAACAAAAACACTCCTTTACTCTGTGGAGACTGGCCCTGAATGAATGGAACACGTGCCAGCTAACGTCAAGACTACCACGAGCTAATGCTAACTCTGCTAGCTTCCTGGTTTCCTGCCCTATATAAACAATGTTTCACACAGTTACGCGCTTCCATCTTTACTTTGTTTTTAGTAGGTAATGACCGGAGTAACGCGGGGAAACGGTAACGGAATAAACACTAAAACGCGCAGATTCCAGAGGAGCTAGCACGACTTACCGGCGCCATGTTGAACGATCGGACGTGAAAGGGAGAACCGGAGGTGACGTAGCTGTGACGCGGATGGCGCCGCGTGCAACGCCCTTACCATATATGGTAACCCCAGTATGGCTGCAGAGAAGAGGGAAAATAAACACAGGAATCCGGAAAAATAGCTCGATTAACGAGTTCTGAAGTGACCGAACTCATATTTATGAGTCGTATTTTTATTTTAACAACAATACTGACAGGTTTATTTAAATTAAATGAAGTTGCGTCTTAAAATAAGAGATTTATAGTGGAGGTTTTGCCTTTTTTGTGGGACGAAAAGTCCAAAGGGTCTTTCACAGCCCAAACACACCCCGATAATAAACCTGCTGAGCCTGGTCAATCATTCACGACGTGTGTACACACACACACACACACACACACACAGGGCCTCAGACCAGCCCTGTTCATTCAGCTGCATTTGTATGAACACTCAAAATGAAATCCCTCCTGATGAGTCAGCGAAACTGTGACTGGTCAGGCGGTTAGCATGCATCCTTCTTTCCACTCAAGTTCCACCACTACTGGGGACCTTCAGGCAGGGCGAGTCGGAGTCTGAAACTAGTCTTTTCATGCGAGTCACCATGTTTCCTACATATTGTTTTGTAAGTCTGAGTCACTGTGGATCTGCAGCTGCAAGAAGCTTTTTTCCTCCAACACCTGCAGTGCAAAATAAACTTAAGTCCAGGTGTTTTTCTTGGTTCTAGAGCCCCAACAGCTCAATATGTGTCCATGTTTATTTAATAGGCGTTTGTCACCTTGAAGAGGATGATTAAGGGATAAGAAAACATGACGTCATGTGACCCACAACACCCGTTTACTTATAACACTTGATACTGGAGTTAAGTCTCACTAACACATATAACTGAAGTACAAATCTGGACCAGGACTTTTCATTTGTGTATTTTCTTGAACCTGAAACTTCTAACATGCATTTCATCAAAAGTGCTTGTTTTTGCAGATTACTCGTTTCCAACCTTAAAGTCATCCAGACATCCACAGTACAATACACCTCTCAGCAGCTTTCAGCACAAACTACAAAAGGTACAACTTTATTGATATATTTTTACTATGATTTTAACACTTTATGTCCATCGTGCGTCACCAACATCATCCCTTTGAGACCGTGACTGCACCTTTACAGCGTACATCAGAGACAGAAAACCAGACGTAGTTTGCAGTTTTTGTCCATTTTGTTTCGTGGTTTTATTTTATTTTTTTTGCCATCTCCAGTCAGGTGACAAAGGCCTCGAGTGAACAAAAACGTTTGCAACTCTACCACCCTCCCCAACCCGATCGAGTCCCTCAAAAAAAAAAAAAAGACACGCCTCACTGCAAACCGCCTTCCACATTTCGGAGGCCCACACCGCTACACACTCATGCCTCTCAAAACAAAATATAACACTCCTTTTGTATTGGGGGGGGGGGGGGGGGGGGGGGGGGGGGGGGCTGGCGACTGACCGCCCCGGTGGACAAGAGGTGTAAACGCACACGCGCCCATCCAACTTCTACACAGACAAGAGACTGGCATCACAAGGGTAAATCACTGAAGCTTCTGTTCTTCTTAGGGGGGAAACAAACAAAAAACAATTCTTTTCTTGGTTTTAGAGCTTTGACATGCTGGGGTGGACCTCAAGTGCTCATAAGTGCTAACCACCACCAATCCCAGCGAGGAGGAGGAGAGAAAACGAGCCTCGTCGAGCCCCGAATCCACGCGGGAACCGGAGCAGAGGCCATGCTGGAGAGCGGTACGGCTGCTAGAGGGACGGCCTAAACCAGAATTTAAACATCTATCCATCTGCTTTAACAACTCAAAAACTGTCCCCGTCCCGTTCCCTTTAAAAGGCTTTAAACCCGCTATATTCAAGAATATATAAAAGAAAAGAATCATACAAAAGCTGAATCCCGTTGTTATTAAAACATTCAGGAATGCGAGTGGCAAAACCAACACTTTGAAGGCAAAAATAAGCAGGAATGAGCAACTGATCGATATTTTTTGAAGTCGTTTTTTTTTATATATAAAGTAGATTTGTTGCCAAACAAAACCTCAGTGATCAGAGCAGAGGACCACGCAACGCAGCGAGCTGCAAGTGGAACTTTCCCCAACAAGCAAATGGAAAAGAGAAATGACAAAATAAAAAGGGAGGATGAAGGGGGGGGGGGGGGAAGAGATAAAAATGAGAGAAATCACAACAGAATGATTGAGGTTGTCTGTGAAGGCCGACCCTTTGGTGACAGAACCAATGAGGATGCAGGAGACTGGTTGTGGGTGGTGCTTGTTGCCTGGGAAGCAGAGTCCGTCTTCTCCTTATTTGCTGGCCAAGACCTTCGTAGCGACAGCACATTCCTCGCCCATGGCAGCGATGACGGTGACCTGCAGGGAGAAGCAGCACGTGTTCGAGTCAATCATCTGAAACTTTACACACACACACACACACACACACACACACACACACACA